TACCAGGATGATGTCTTCCCTTTGCGCCTCTCCGATCGCTTCTTTTAGATACTCATTTCACGTTGTAAAAGATGATTCTTGAAGGAAAATTCTTGAAACTATGCATCAACACTTCAATCAACGTATGCTGATGAAACACGATGGACTTGATACAACATCATGCTGTTGTGTGTTTGCAGCGTATGCTTGCACTCCACGATTAACCCAGGTATATTTTACAAGATCGGACTGAGACCCGAATCTCAACACTTAGCGGCTAAAAAGTCTTTCTGATCAAGGTTTTGTAGACCTCTAACGATCTAAAGCCTGTGCTTCGTATATCTTGAGTATTGAGGTTGAAGCTTTGAACACACTCTATCAAGTTTAGATGGGGGTGTAACCTTTCAATCTTCTTCGACGATGCGACGAGTCCAAATGGAGCCCTCTCTTTTGATGATCCATTTAAACACAGACTCTTCCTGAACTTGACTGTACTTGATGATGTCAACCTTGACGCTCATTTGTCGAATCATGTGCATTGGCTTGGTTGTATCAGCAACAAATTGCGGTTATCTCAAGATCTTGAAATGAAGAGCACTATGTTCTGTCGGAAGCTCTTTAAGCTGATACCCTCTCTGGTCAAGCTAATTAACTTTATCCTGCGATTTATCAAGCTCACGACAGATGAACAAGGCGATAGTTGCATATTGATCACTTCATCTAGAGAAAACATGGCGCCGACGAATGGTCCGCTGGTAATCGAGTTCATGGATTCTACCACAGCCCATTCGATTCCACGCAAATCGGTGGATCTTTCACGCGTACCTTCAAAGCTGTTTTCATTCTCCTAACAACTTCATTCTGGATGGAATACCCATGGTCGCTGTACGAATTAGGAAGCGTCATCAGGTGCAACAGAGGACCATCGGGGTGTACCGAACAGCACAAGCTACTGTCGAGAAGTGGATCAAATAGTAGTTTGAGAAATGGACTGAAGAATGGCTACTGTGGTATCGGGCTAGGTATGAGGTTTTAATGTTTGTATCACGACAATCAGTTATGATCTGGGGGTGTCTCCGATCCGAGAGAGGACCTAATCCAAATAGAAATCCGATCCAAGAAGAGATCCGATCCAAGAAGGGATCCGATCCGAGATAAGATCAGATCCTGACCTGAATTAGGGGTAGGGGATAAATCAAGGTGCCTACGAGATATAATAGACACAGGGATTCGCTCGACGACACGGGGCGAGCGTCTGTTGCATCGATAGTCGAGGTCGTAGGTTTAGCAAGTTGGTCGGATAAAATCTAACAGATTTCAACTTACTCCAAAAGACACGCGTCATCTCTTCCGGGCTGGATCTTTGGCCTCCCGACGACATCAAGCGTTGGCCTCTCGTCTATACAATTTTCGCACCTGGATTGTTTTGGCCAGGTGCGTTAAGAACTCTCACGAACATCACAACAAATGCGATAGGGCGCAGTGAAAAATCAAGGGGGATCAAGATCTCGAGACGGCTCATATGGTCAGATGGTCAATACAATCAAGATCTAAAATAATGGACAAGGCGATATCGTTGAGATCTAGGTAGCTCATACCGATAACCCTAAAAGTGACCCGTGATCGTGTGAAGACTTCCATGCGACCATCCCAGTCTTAAACGCGTTCAATTTTGGCATCAACATGAGTCCACTATAAATTGTGCAGCGCTATACCGACGGGTACACAAGGTGATGAAGGAATCAAGCACGTAAACAGATTACCCCCTTCGATAGTGATATTATGGGCGCCAGTGGAGAGGCGGGATCACATCAGCAATTTTTTGGATCCCGCTCCATCACACTGTCTACAATGGCACGATGTAGGCAGGTGTCACATGACCTCACACAAACTGTACGTGAAGTGACAAGTTTATCTTTGAAATGAGCACGCTTGAACGACAGGAACAAAAGAACTGTATAAAATATGTTCCCCTCATCTGATTACACTTTTTATATTGTTTCGACTATATTTTACCAAACGATATGAGTGTTGCTACTCGCTTACCGCCCATTGCGCGGATCTAGTAGTGATTGGTGGTTAAGCTGGGAGAAATTATGACCTTTATCAACCAGTAAGTGGAATGGTGCCCAAAATTACCTTCGGAGGTGGTATTTCTTCAATATTTGCATATTGAGGTAAATTTTAGTGATGATCATTGATATAGAAAATATCTACGTTATTTCAGTGTAGTGTCAATAAATGCAAACGGGTTCACCCCCCCCCCTACAGATAATATCCCCATTGGCATTCATATGTGTCGATATTATGTAACAGTTCACCCGATATTATAAGGTATGTGCCTAACCCTCTAATCAATTCCTAAGAATCTACAGGACTGCGCGCAATAGTTTGTGGTGGAGTGGGGTCTTAAAACTGCGCGAGGATCTCTTAAACGCTCACTGTGCTGAACTTCCGACTTAAGGGGGGCGGGGTACCCCGATGCCGCTTATAGACCTTGATATGCCTTAGTTACCCGTCGGCTGGCGGGTTACACTCTTTAGTAGACTAGGACGGAGACTGAGATGTGTTAGCCTTGGCAGAGGTAGACCTTGGGTCCCGAGTGGATATGCTTCGCTCGGTGGGACAGTAGGTGGCCACTCGACCGACTCGGTCGAGAAAGGTTTATAATCAAATCCTTCATTTATCTTGTCGCTCCTGGCCTTTTGTGTAATCATAGGGGTGCTAATCTCTTGGTCTTCACCGTGTTCCCCAACCGCTAGGCTGGAAGGCCGCTTTCGATAGCGGATCTTGGGAGTGCTACTCGACGATTCCACAAGCCAAATACTTCCTGGGGTTCTACCTGCATTTGGTCTTGCTACGCAACTGTCGTCAACGGGGATGGCAGAGCGTATCCTTTCCCCGAAACAGGCGTGTAGACCAAGTACGAGTTCCTTCAAATAAGACGAAGACGTGCCAAGTAGATCGCAAATTGAGTATTATTTCAATATATTCATATCCTTCAACTCCGTTATTCTAACCTTACTTCGTGTCTTGATTCCTAATTTGACCGGACAAGAGAACTTGAACTCGAGAGACCCGACGTCCAGCTTAAGGAACCGGATCCACCTTTCGGGACTCGACTTCCACCTCGAGGGATCCGGGTCCACCTCAAGAAATCCGAGGTCCACCTTGAGGAACCGGATCCACCTTGAGGGACTCGACTTCCACCTTAAGAAATACGAGGTCCACCTTGAGGGACCCAAGTTTCACCTTGAAAGACCCGAGGTTCGCCTTGAGGGACCGGGGTCTACCTTAAGAAATACGAGGTTTACCTCGAGGGATCGGGGTTCACCTTGAGGTACCGGACCTTCAAATGAGGAGCAGTGGTCTGCTCCTTTCAGTACCATTTAAATGGTTTTTCTGGCGATGATTTCTCCTCGTTAGGTGTTGTGGGTCTTTTCCTCCGAATGTCTCGTCGCCTTCGTGACGCCTTTCTCCTTTTCAGCTTTTTTCTGAGGGTGGAACGTTGTTCCTTTGGTGCGCTAACCTTCGGGTCCACCATTTCCGATAAGCACTTCACCACAAATGCTTCAATGTCCCTTTCAGGCATCCAGTGCAATGTCTACTTTTAATACGTTCGTTCTTTCTTTTTCTTAGGCTGCCTGAGGTCGCTCCGTATACATTCATTTAAGCATTGTAGAAAAAAGATATGACTCTGCACTGTCATTTCTCACGTTAATGACGCCGCTAAGTCGACAGCTGTCATGTTCAATAGGACCAGTACAAAGCAATGTGGTAAAAGGAATATACAATTTTATTTCGTTATACACTCACATGCTTCTCACTCCATATCGTTCCTGTTTACTCGATCCGAAAAGGCGCACATCGAGTCGCACAAAGTATGACCAATAGAAACACTAAGTCAGCAACCGTGTTTCCCATCGTTGGTCGGCGCCATTCACGCGCAATATCAATTAGGCGTTGTCTTTTCCAACAACATCTGCACACGAATACATTGTCGGACCATGTTGAATCCAAACGAAAGAATTAGAAGCAACTCGTTCTTGCTACGACGAATGTAGTTTACGTCGTTAAGGCTTTTTGGTTGTGATTGTTTGTGCATTGTCCTTTGTTATTTATTGAACTTTCATCTTTCGCCATTAGCTGGTATCTCATGACAATTTTACTTTTATATAAATATTTGCCTTTTGACCGGCCCTATGTCTTTTATTTGTGATCCTGATCGGTACAATGTGCCGCAGTAAACCAGTGTTGGTCTGCTATCTTTGTTCAAACGAATACAGCTAGTCTCTTTCTAAAGCATCAGGCAAGCTGCATTCACCCGCACGCTTGCATCTGCTCTTCCAAAGCATGTTCATTGTATGCAGTCGGTTTGCTTGCTGAATGTATCGTATCACTGCTTATCCGGCGAGAGCTGCACGATCAATTTCGGACGTGCGTATCAAATGACGAGACGCTGTGTGTACATTGTCACGATAATATGTTTTGAATTGATGGGATTACAACTGGCATATCGATTGACCTTCCTTCATTAATCAATGAAGAATGCTGAACATGAGGAATGCTGGTTACGGACGTTCATTGATTTGTGGTGCTTAAGAGACAACAATGGTCGCTTGACATTTGTTGCACATAACTTATCCACACGAAGCACACTTTTTTACCACGCACGCATGATGTACTTAAATTGATTGTTCGTGAGAGGCATCTTATCGTATGCACCGTCGACCAATCACTATCGTTGTACACGTATGCCGTTTCATTGTCGCTTACAAAAGTGAGTTTCTTTTTCTGCCGGTCTTGAATGCGAACTTAGGAGCAGAGGCACTCGAAAAAAGCCGCTTTCAAGAGAAACCACTTTTTTCGTGCAAAAGTCCCTGCTGCCCACGTGTCGCACCCACCTGGATGTTTGTTTTGTCCTGCCATGTGCGCCACACAAGCCCCCCCCCCCCACGTGGCCAACCAGACGCGATGCCACTCGCCGTTCCCCCCCTCACGCCCGCGACCAGCACAACCCAATGAGCAGCGAAGACGCCCCCGTCGCCCCCGCGGCGGAGATGGAGATCCCCGACGTGATTGAGCGGCTCCCGAAGCCTGACAAGGCCGCGCACGACGCCAAAACTGCCGCGCTGGACACCGCGATCAAGAACCTGCAGGCGCGCATGAACGTGGTCCACGCCGAGATGGACGCGCTCAAGTCGAACCGCGGCGGCTATGGCGGGCCCATCCAGGAAGCCAAGGCCGCGTTTGCTGCGTTGCGGGCGGACAAGGACAATCTGATCCAGCAGCGGAACCAGATCACGGCTCGTTTGCGCCAGTCACGCGACGCGAAGGACTCGACCGTGAAGCAGCAGCGCAACCTGCGCGCGAACCTCAAGTTTGGGTCCGAGGCCGAGTTTACCGACGCCATTGCTGCTCTGAAGCACAAGCAAGAGACGATCACCATGTCGCTGAACGAGGAGAAGCGCGTGATTAAAGAGATTGAGCAGTTGCAGGCCCAGAAGTTGCAGGTCAGTGCGTTTGTGGGCGACCAGAGCGTCGTGGAGAAGCAAAATGAAAGTATACAGGAGCTGCGTGCGTTGCAGACGACGAAGAACGAGGAGATTGACGAGCTGCAGGAAAAGCTGAATAAGCAGAAGCAGACGCTGGACGAGCTTTACCGTCTGAATGAGGAGGAGAACCAGAAGGATCGATTTCCAGCGCTGGCGAAAGAGCGCAAGGAGATCAAAGAACAGCTGGACGAGGCGTTTACGGCTTTGAAGGCACTGCGGAAGGAGTTCAAGGACGCGAACGACAAGTACTACAACAACATTCGTCTCGTGCGCAAGAAGAAGGAGCTTGAGCGTCAGAAAGAAGAGGAGGATCGTAAAGCCGAATACGAGGTCAAGCTTGCTGCTTACGAGAAGGAGATGGCCAAGATCCATCCGTACCAGAATGAAATGGACCTTTGCGATGCTCTTGTGATGTTCATCGAGAGAACGTACGCAAACGAGCTGAAGGATGGGGACGACGAGGCTACTGACACTGACATTGCACCCATGGAGCTTGATGGTATGAAGCCGTTGGAGCGCAAGGAAGAGGACTTTATGATGCTTGGTGGCGGAGGCAAAAAGGGAAAGAAGGGGCGTCAAGGCAAGAAGGCCAAAAAGCCCACCAAGTTAGCCCTACCGCTTGCGCAGATCAACGCTTTTAGCACAATTGGTCTGCTGCCGCCAACGGCTGTGGATGCTGTCCCCGAGACGCTGGCTGCCGTGAAAGCCAAGAAAGCCTGGTTTAATGAGCAGACGCCAAATCTGCAGACGGAGAAATTTACGGAGGCTGCTGTTGAGCCTGCTGTCTCCGCGAAGGAGGCGTCTCCAAAGAAGAAGAAGAGCGACAAGAGTAAGAAGTTTAACGCCGGCGACAAGGACGCCTTCCCCTCGCTCGGTGGTGCTGCTACCGAGCTTCCATCGTGGGGCCCAGGTATGGCACCTCCTGTTGCTGGTGAGCTCGCGGCGGCGGATGAGTTTGCTGATGCAGACGCTGTGGCGGCTGAGTTTGCTGCCGCCAATGTCTCGGCGGCTGAGTCTGTTGATGCCGATGTCGTGGCAGAAGGCGAGGAGGCCTAGGCTGCGGGTCTCACAGGAGGAAAGTGTTGGCTCGAGAGTGGCAAGCTTTGAACAAGTGACCGAAAGAAGTTAAGCACGCTTTAAGGAAGAAGGAGGCGCTTGCTAAATGCCTGGGGCGTCCTCGCGACACTCTTTGCTCCTAAAGCTATCTAGCGCGTGCAATCACAGCGGTAGGAATACAGTAGATACTTCCAACATACATCGGGCGCAGCCGTTCGCCACCGGTGCGTCAGTCACGATCAACTTCAGCAAAAAGCTGCTGCATTCGTTCGTTCCTTATCTGCTCGCTGGTCGATATAATGTGCAGCAACTGGTCGGTCAATCGGTCTTTGAACAGGTGCGCTTCCTCGACTTCGACACGCGCAAATTGGACGCTACTCTGTAAGCGCCGGGTCCGTTGCACCAGCGGGCGTAACAGTTGCTGGTTATGGGCCAGCGCGCGCTGCACTAAGCGCAACTCTGCTGCCAACTGTGGGACCAGGATGTCAAGATGCTTCAAATTCTGATGTACCTCCTCGTCCTCTTCGTCATCAATAGTGAAGCTCTGAAGCTTGCCCCCGGCATCCGCAGAGTTCAGAAGAACGGGTAGACGCTCCAAGCAATGCGCCATTCTTCGATTGATGAAGTCCAACGGCTTAATCCACGTTGTAGGCCTTGATCTGGAAGAGCCAGTAGATGATGAAGTAGCCTCTCGTATCGCAGTTGTCATTAGCTTTCGAAACTTCAGCAGCAAACGATTTTTTACCTCGATACACTCATTCAGCTCACTTGTAGCCACGGAGTACTCATGTGAAATGGCACAGCTAGTCGACATTGCTTGGGCGTATGCTCTCTCGGCTGCCTCGATCTTATGTTGCAAAACCACTGTGTCGCTTGCCACGTCCTTGTCGAAGCGCTGTAATGTGAAGCGGATCAAATCAAGAGGCTCTTGCTCAGTAACGGCATCGGTCTCGTGCCTGAGCAGAGGAAAAAAAACACGATGCTCGTCTGAAAGCGGCGCTTGCTGCAGCCGCAGGCGGAGATACTAATCACATGAGAATGCCAACGAAGTGAGTTTACCACCAACACCAACGACTCGTAGACGCATCTTTACTTCAAGGTGTCGCTCTTCTTCCAATTGCTTAAGACTTGAGCGCGTCACTTTGTAATCGAGAGCCTGCTGCACCAATAGCGTAGCGCTAAACGACTCTTCAAGTCCTAGGGCAGGGCTCCTGCGAAAGAAATTGCTGCATTGGTCCAGATCCTACGTAAAAAGGATACATGATGAACATTCCAGAGCGTCTGGTATCGATTTCCGCAGTCTCATCTTACCATTGTGAGAAGAATTGGTTGCAACTCCGCAATGATGGCGATAGCGACACGGTACACAGTTTTCCATCCGTCTACTAAAATGACATCCCAAACACGAACAAGAACATGGACTGGTAGCACCCGGGCAAAAAGTGTCACAAACCACTGACTCAGACGCCAAAGTAAGTTTACCAGTACAAGTTGCAGGTGCCAGCTGAGGCCAAACCAATACTACCTGCGTGACGAAGATGCTGGAATGCATTCCAATTTGCTGGAAATGCACCGACAAATCGTAGAAGTGCTTCTTGAGAAGTCTCTGAAAAACGTAAAAGCACTGGGGTAGTCTACATATGGGAGCACCAGCACCAGCAACGAGTTATAATAGCGTCATCATAACCTCTTTGCAAAAGAACATAGAAAACGCACGAACCCCGGCATTTCGTGTTTCCACATGTCTGCCATACCCTTGCGTCGTATCAATGAGATTGTCAGCCAAAATGCCACTTCTTGTTCTGAGATTTGGTGTCCATTCAAATACAGGTCCGAAGCCTCCTCCGCACTTTTTGCCACGAAAAGGAGCGCAGCAACAACATAATTCATCCCCTGACAACATCAACAGCTGTCAAGCATGTGTCTACCAGTATTCACCTAATAGGCAGTCTTATGCACCTGGCAATATCCGACACCACTTTCATACGCAGCGGTTGCCTTGAGTACATTTCCAAGCAAACGCCGCCCGTCGCCTAGCACAACGCCAGCCATCTCGTCAATTAGATTTCCTGCGCCGCCCTATAGTCGAAACTTTTATACCTTCTCCAGAGAAGAAGGAGTTAGCAGGAAAAGTGCGCTCGATGTCGCGGCTAATTTCGCCTTCGACTCCTGTCATCTCTAGTGTCGCCTTGTCATCTAAATTGTCAATGCCAGCGAGCTACTCAAGTCCATCACATGAGCTTTTCACTGAGAGAATGTGAGCCAACTTGTCGTGTCTTTACCTTCATATACAGCTCTTTGCTGCTCAGTTGTTTCTGTGACTTCTTCATCAGGGTCTTCACGTCACCAGCCCGCAGCCAATAGCTTCAGCACAGCGCAAGAATCCACACGGACGCTATTAGCCAACCAATACACTCACTCAACAAGTCGCGGCATACCTTATTCTTCGCTTAGCAGGGAACCCACTGATCCGTACTGCAAGTTTCCATAGTTTTTGACGCTTTACGACTGCTCGCAAGGTCTTATTGACGCGAGCAACGACGTCCACTACATCCACCTGCAAATACCACCACAACGGCAAATGAACTGGAGCCATGTAGACATGACATAATACGGAGATTGGAACGGTAGGTCACCTGCACCCATTCATGGCGGACGAGAATGCGCAGGACTTGTCCAAACGGTGCACCAAGGGCGGCGGTCGACGAGCTCATTTTTGACGCAATGTGCGCACGTCAAATCAGCGACAAATTTATGTGGTACACCCTTTTACTTCAGCGATGGCGCAGTGCAGAAAAAAAGTATTCATGAAGACAAATGCTGGAGTTGTCATCGTGCGCTCTGTGTTTTGTTGACGACAGATGCTATTGTATCGACCGCGTACCGCACACTGACTTGATGTGGTCGTGGGCGCTGGATTGGGTCGTTTATGAATACAGACTGGACAGCGAGTGACGCTTGTGCCGTATGAGGAGGAGCATGTGGCCAAGTACCACAAGTGGATGCAAGATCCCTGGCTGCAAGGTGCCGTTGCATGCATCTGCGATGCTGTTGTGTAAAACTAAAGACGAGAAAACTGTCAATGCTTCCAATCTTTCGTTGCGCGTTACTGGACGCAGAGATGACGGCGTCGGAGCCTCTGCCACTTGAAGAAGAGATGGAGATGCAAAAGTCATGGAGAGAAGATGCCGAGAGTGCGTGAGGCAGGAACTGTTGCGACTGACAAATCGAATGCTCAAGTGAATGGCATGAATTCTTTTGTGGTATGTAGAATGCACTTTTATCGTGTTGGCAAATGCTGAGGGTGACGGCCAGCCGGGGACTTCCTACGTCGACGATAGCGCTATTGGCCGTGAGCTGTGCTCTTGTACTAACTCAAAGTTGAAGTGGTAAACTAAGTGGTAGTCATGGTATCAGGTATGGCCGGGGACATCAACCTGTTCTTCAACGACTATGACGATCCTCAAGCTTGTGAGCTGGACATCATGATTGCAGAGAAGAAATATCGTCGCAAAGGCTTCGCGGAAGAGGCAGTACAGCTTCTGATGGCTTACGGTGTGAAAAAAGCTACATGCGCTGTGTCATGCGGACTATACTGACATTTTTTTGTCCTACAGCTACGGTGACTCTACGTGTCTCCCGATTCTTTTGCAAGATCACCGAGACAAACACCGCCTCACTTCAGCTCTTTGACAAGTACGCAGTTTGTTTGCTGTTGTAATCTAGCCATATTTTGTTGTTATCTAATGTGTGTTTACCCCGCACAAAGGCTGGGATACATCAAGTACAACTACGTTGCTGCATTCAGCCAGGTAGAAATGGAGCTGGTCACCAAGGACAAGCATGCCGATCTCGTCGATGCCGTTCTTGAATTTGCTGTTATTCATGCACGGCAATCGATCAAGTAGTAGGCAACTTATCAATATTGCTGCTGAGCAGTTTTGTACGAAAGGGACGATGCGTTTGCTGATTCAAACTTCAACAGCTAGTTATCGTTCTCTGTAATAGGGTTGCGGCGAGCAAACGATGATAAAGTTCCTTTCGGTTACGGACTGGTTACCTCAACCGTGAAGGCCGAAAAACGTACATAGATATCAGCCGACGGCGTTTGTCAGCCATTCATGGTATCCACATCTCGAAGTTATTGTGCACTGTTGAGAAACCTTACATACTGGTATTGTAGCAGGTGTTCATCATCGTTGTTTGGCGATGCATAAAATGAAAATGATAGCCAAATAATTGATAAAAAGAGGAATTTAAATCGATGTGCCAATTATTTCATCAGTAAAATCAATGATAAAAGCACGGAAAACGTTATAAATATAAAAATGCGTTTTATTTTTGTGTATTTATTAACATTTAGCCAATTACAGCGCGAATAAATTATGCGGGGAATTCTAAGTCGGAGGGTGAGTGGTGTTAGCGGAGTGAAAGTGGTGAATAGCGGCTCCCTAAATGAATTGTAGGCGCGTTATCATGCGCATCCCTTTGACTTACGCTAGCTCTTCTGCTGACCACTACCACTGACATATTACAACTCAACGATAAATTGAACCTGTTGAGCTCAGTGGTATGAGATCAGCAGAAGAGCCAGCGTAAGTCCGAGAGATGCGCACAATTACGCGCCTGGTGCAAAGGTGGGTCGTGTCACATGACGTACAATCCGCTAGTGTTCTTTACAATATCCCGTGCATGATTGTTCATCGGGTCCTCAAAAAATTGGTACGCTATACTGACGGAGACTTTGCTCGTGATCGATTCGATGACTGCAAATCTTGCGGAACTGAGGATCCTCACCAATTCTCTTTGATGTATTCACGTCAGTATTCTCGAATAACGGGCGGGATGTTTACGGTCATCTGCTATTGTCAATTTTTCTCATCGAGACCACATCGATCCTGTACTGCCGATGGATTACATAGCCGACACGCTCTCGCGCAGCACTGCTGTCTCCGCGTTTGGCGTCCTCGTCGTTCTCTCCTTAGCGTACTATGTGCTAGCAGCTGACTGGAAGTGTAAGCTTGGGACTCGTAGCGTGGTGCGTCCGTGTGGGGCAAAGTTGTTATCGGCAACACGTTGGAGGCCATCCGCACAGTTCCAGTCCGTCATGACTGGATTGCCACTCTGTGCGCCGAAGCGAAGGGCGAGCCAGTGCTGCTGCAGTCGTTGGGAACGCAGGATGTGACTTTGCTCTCGACTCCTAAAGCGTTTGAGGACGTACTCAAGAACCAGTTTGACAACTTCCCCAAAGGACAAAGAAAGACTGAGTACCTGCGCGAATTCCTTGGTGAAGGCATCTTTGCAGTCGATCACGACAAGTGGTACTGCCAGCGCAAGGTCGCCAGCAATTTGTTCACCATGCGATCGTTGCGGGACTCCATGACGAGTACCATCCAGCGGCACTTGGTCGTGCTAGAGCGCATTTTCGGTCGAGCCGCGGAGAAGAACGACCCGGTGGACTTGTACCGACTGTTCAATCGATTCACTATGGAGGCGTTCACCGAGATAGCCTTTGGCGTGAAAATGGACGTCTTGGATTGCGATAAGGAACACCCGTTCCAGGTGGTGTTTGACCGTTGTCAACGAGCGCTCGTACTTCGCTTCGTTCGACCGAGTTGGTTCTGGAAGACTCAGCGTTTCTTAAGAGTTGGAATGGAGCGCCAGCTGAAGCAAGACATTGACGTGATCAATTCCACCGTTTTCGACATTGTGGCCAAGACGATCCAACATTGTGGAAAAGACGCGCAAGACGACAAGAAAGCAGGAAAGGATATCATATCGCTGTTCCTGGACAACATGGACCAATCAAAGGACGCAGACGGCGGCTGCTTTGACCCCGTGTACCTGCGAGACATTGCCGTAAACTTCATCATCGCCGGACACGACACTGCGGCACAAGCGCTGAGCTGGTTTTTCTACTATCTCAGTCAGAACAAGCAAGTGGAGGCCAACATTCACAAAGAACTCGACGCGAAGTTGCCCGAGCTGTGCAAAGGAAAATGCAGCCCGTCAATGGACGAGGTCAGCGAACTCACTTACATGGAAGCTGCGCTGTTGGAGACACTGCGTCTGTACCCGTCCGTCCCGTTCGTCTCGAAGGAGGCTGTTCGCGACACAGTCCTATCTGACGGCGCATTCATTGCCGCCGGATCCTATACTGGCTTACCTATGTACGCCCTCGGACGAATGCCTCATGTGTGGGGTCCTGATGCTGCGGACTTTAAACCAGAACGGTGGATCGACATGAAGACCGGCAAACTCATCACGGTCTCGGCGTACCAATTTGTGGCATTCAACGCTGGACCACGCACGTGCCTGGGCAAAAATCTTGCAATGCTCGAGATGAAGTTGATCGTGGCGTCACTGCTGAGTAAGTACCACGTTGAGCTCGAGAGCCCTGAGATGGTAACGTAGGCTGTTTCATCCACTTTGCCAGTGAAGGGACAGCTCAGCGCCAGAATTTCAGTCATTTGGGCGGGAGTAAAGCGAGATTGCGATGGTCATTCTTTCTGCGTCCAGTATTCTTAGCAGTAACTACGACGTTCACCTAAGCTCCAAAACGAACTACTTTGTTTTTGCAACAACAAGTCGTGGTTTGACGATGCGCTCTGCTGATACAAAAAAAGCAAAAGAGATAGGTACAATACTGGACAGTTTACGCAATGTCGAACTTGTAAGAAGGCGGGTGGCCAACCAAAGTCCTGCAATATATGTCTCCGCAACTCATCCGAGGGTAGTCGATATTCGTGATTGGCAATTTCTGTACCAATCGCAACAAATGCTTTGCCTGTTCAGGTATTCTTAGATAGAATCACTCAACAAAAATGACCCTTATGTTCGACCGTCTTCCCGCATTACAAAAGACCCTGATTATGGAGAGCTGGTCGAGCATGTGCACCTTAAGGCTGCAAGCAAGAGATCACAGTGCCTGTATTTGATCCTTGTTGAGATGTAGCATACTGCCTTGTATTCATGCCTGTAGGGCAGGTATCGTTCTGCTCACTACCGTTAACTTTATTGTTCCTTGAAGCTTCTGCGCGCGAGGACTCACTAAAAAGAATGCAACATGTCGGCGGACCGCCCAAGCATGCCATGCGTCGGGCAACAATGGTGAGGTTCATGACGATATAATATAGTTAACCCGAGTCCGACATCTTCTCGTCGTTTATTGAGCTGCAAACTTTGTCAAGACAATAGGGTTTGATCGAAATGTTGCCGGCCACAGGCGTCACTCGATCTCTGTAATCGCCTCGTCGATTCCATTTTTACGCCTCCACATGCCTCGATAGTGCCGCATCTTCGAATCTGGCCAATGCACCTGGTTCGCGCATCCTCCAATATCAACTAGTCGCATACTTGCGAAGCGTTTACGCGGTACCCGACCGCAAGGTATGAATGGGTGGGGTTTAAAACACTACGCAAATGTCGAAGCCGGATTCGCAAACGCACTGATCGTGACCTGGTCAGCAATCTAAGGGCTCCATAAGTTCTACGACGTCTCAAACGCGACATCGCGTAGAGAAGCGTGAAGTTGGACGACGATGCTCACCGAACCTCGGCACGACCTAGTAGTAAAAAGGTCACTTGCGTGTTTCCGTGTTGCGCTTAGCGCCGTAACCATGAAGCCCCTCTGACATTCAAACCTGAGCTGTCGTCTCGTAATTGCGCAATCAAGTCATATGCGCTGTCTTGGAACCTTGATGTTCGTTGAGAGTCACGTGCAATGGACATCTCAGTGCGCTTACGACAAAGGACTCGGCTTTCCAGCTTGCCATGTGGAGTCGTGCGAATCTCCTCGATAGCCTGAAAAAGAACTTCAAGTAGCCTCTATCGCAAAAGTGGAGATATTGGCGCTGTGATTCCAACCTCGCCTTCTCTATCATTGACCAGCGTTATATTTTGGTAGCAAATAGTGATGATGTCACTGACGTCATGTTTGCTCTGGGCTTCATTGATCGACGACTCAAAGGACCAGATCGCAGTGATTGAGCAACATTTTGGTGAAAAGGGCGATGTGACGATGCCGAGTACGATTTGTTATTTCAGAGCAACTGGAGTACCTGCGTAGGCATGACTGCTTTGCAATCGCAGCACCCAGACGCTTGCCTTTCTTGCGTGGGTCAGCCAATTTGTTAGCATTTATCTGAGTCATGCCGTCACGCTGACAAGCAATGTCATCGGCGCTCTTGTATCTGTGGTACAAGCTACTTTTGACTATCCCGGAAAGTTAAGATTGCGACGATTGCCTGTTCTTCCCGTTTCGTGCTATCAGACCCCCGAATATCGAATAACGCGCTACACGTGTGACGAAAGCACTTTGTCCATGCAACACCGCCTATGCAGTGTATCTGAATGCGCTCATTTTGTCCGAACGTTTGCCTGGCACGAGATCAATGTCCTTTCAATGTTTTGATTGCTTAAAGCATTGAGTAATGCAAGACAAACATTGTTGTGGGTCGGATACGCGACTAAGAAACAAAGTTTTGCAGTCTAGCATGTCCATCTAGCGCTGCTGTTTATATTGGAGTAGCGAATGGTAATCCTAACGACTTTCTTCTGCCTTTTTCTTTAGCACGCACCCTGCATAGTGAGCTGCACAGCAACCGCCAACAAAACGGAACTGTGATTCCAGAGCACCGCAGAATACCCAGTAACATACGATACGTAAACCCTGTAATCTTGCAGGCTCGCAGGTTTACGTATTGAATGTCTGCTCAGTGAATACAACAAGGTTAGCGAGCCAGTACAGCAGGGTCATTATATCCATGCTTGTTCCCTCTTTATGGACATCGCAGAACGAGTACACGAGTTATCGTCCCCCAGCGGTATTACATAAAACATAGAAGTAAAACTCGCACAAAATCCCGTCGCAAAAGTCTGTTTGCACTCAGTGGATGACATGTCTACTACATTCTGCTGAGATCACACATCTCCGATAGATGTTATCAAAGAACGTTTCAGCTGGTACAACCAGGGTACCAGGCGAGTCACCACTATCAAACAACTGTGCTGCCTGCGGTAAGGATATCACAGATGGGGCTCACTGCCCAACCCGAATGACGCCCCGAGTAGTAATGCACCCAAACTCCCTACGAATGACATGAATAAATCGATGCCAGAGTTTTTCGAAAGGTATGCATCTGCTCTATTCACTGTTTATGCTGCTCGGCCGACAGCCTTTGGCATTTTCTTGGAGCGAGCATCCTCGACTTCCTTGACTTTATAGTAATGCGGCGCAAGTTCCATCAGCCATTCCGACTTGATTGGTACCACGTTGCGCATGTACTCCTTCGTCGTGAATGCCAATTCATGATAGACGACCCAACGCGGAACTTCTTCAAGCTTGATGAGGCAGGAACTTGGATGGATGTACACAAGCTGTGCCTTCTTCACCGTCTTGTATTGACCCGAGTTGTCCAGCTTAGCCGTGTTGTAAAAATAGCCTGCGCAGATGGCTTTACGGATCGGCTCATGGTCGCTTCGGTTGCTTGTACGCTCCAGCTCCACGCGATCGCAAAGACCTTCTAGCTGCTCTCGCACGTCACGAGCAGTCTTCAGCGAGCGCATAATGACGAAGTTCTCGTATGTCCACTGTGTGGAATAGTTCGTCTCGACCCATTGGTTGTAAACATTCATCAACGTGATGTGATCACCGCCGCCACCACGGGCGAAGTTCAGTCGAGCGTTGTCAGCATGCACTGCTTTGTCTTTTGGCCGATAAAAGATCGAGTTGTTCACGCTTAGCATAGCGCACACTGTCATTACTTCTTCAACGCAGCCATACTTCTCGGACGCAAGCAGTGCTTTAGACATCATGGGATCGAGCGGAAACTCGGCCATACGACGCCCAAGCTTTGTCAGTTCTCCCAAGCCGTTGAGAGCTCCAAGGGCGTAAAGCTGTTCGAGCGAGCGAATCAGTGCCTTCTCTGGCGGCGGGTCCATGAAGTCGAAGTGAAGCAGGTCGTTTATCCCAAGTGACTTCATGAGCAACACGACACTAGCAAGGTTTGTACGCTGAATTTCAGGCACAGAATTCTCGTCCAACTCGTTCTTGTACGACCACGCCGTGTACAGACGGAAGCATTTTCCTGGGGCTGTACGGCCCGCTCGACCAGCACGCTGGTTCGCCATCGCCTGCGACACAGGCGCCACCAGCAACGACTCCATACCGGTTTGCGCATTGTAGTTGGTTTGTTTGCAAAAGCCCGTATCAATTACGTAGCAGATGCCAGCAATGGTGAGTGACGTCTCCGCAATATTTGTACTCAGCACGACTTTGCGAGCACCCTCCGGCGTTGGCTCAAACACCTGTGCCTGGCGTTCTGAGGGCAGTGTTGCATAGATTGGCCGAATGAGCAGCTCCCGTATACGAGACCCGAGACCCCGAGTGCGTTGCAGCAGAATCTCTTCAGCTGATTCGATCTCTTCTTGACCTGTAAAAAAGACGAGGATGTCTCCCAATGGCTGGGTAATGTGGATCTGCAGCACTGTCACGATGGCGGCATCCAGGTAGTCAGCCTCCGGAGCTTTTGTGTACAGAATGTCGACAGGATACATGCGCCCGGGTATTTTGAAAATTGGAGCGTCATCAAAATAGGCACTGAACTTCGTGGCATCCAGCGTAGCACTAGCCACAATGATCTTGATGTCGTCTCGAAAGCGCGCGATGTCCTTGATGAGCCCGAACAAAATGTCGGTACTGAGGGTGCGCTCGTGTGCCTCATCAATGATCATGACACTGTACGACTTCAGATCAGGTTCGGTCAAGAATTCGCGCAGCAGCATACCGTCTGTCATGTACTTTATGACGGTCTTGTCGCTGGTGCAATCCTCAAAACGAATCGAGTAACCTACTTCGTTACCTAGCTTCACATTCATCTCCTGCGCCACACGTGCTGCCACACTCATCGCGGCAACTCTCCGAGGCTGCGTGCAACCAATCGTGCCTAACTCCGAGTATCCCACTTCGTGCAAATACTGCGGAATCTGCGTCGTCTTGCCCGACCCGGTTTCCCCCTCAATAATGATCACAGGGTAATTGCGAATCGCTTCGAGCAGCGACTCTCGATATGGATACACGGGCAACTGTTTACGCCCTTCCTGCATGCTCAAATGCTTCGCTTGCTCCATTTTCTTCCTTGCGTTCTGAACGTCTTGTTCACTCACGTGATGTCCCGACAGCATCTGCTGCGAAATGAAATCAATCTGGTCATCAAACACCCAATCGTCTTCCCCGGTCTTCTTCTTGTGTTTATCGCGTGCTCCAAACCTGCTCCTGGCCATCTTGACCTGTGTTTCCTCCCACACTTCCTGCTCGGTATGAAAAACCTCTTCCTCTTCGTACCTGTCGGTTAACAAATCCTCTTTCTTGCGAACTCGATTGCCTTCATCGTCGACTTCTTCATAAGAATCGGGAATCTGATACCCCTCGACCTCCTCCTTCTTTGACCTAGCTTTTGCTGTCTCGAGAATTTGCCTACTAAGCTCTAGCTGTTGTTGCTCCTTCCTCGATTTGTCCGACTCTTGAAACAAAACAGCCTCGTCTTTCAGCTGAAACTCCAGCAGCTCCAGCTCTTTCTCCTCTCTCTTCTTCAGATACTCCTGTCGACTCAGCTCTCTCAGTCTCCTCAACTTCTCGCTAAGAGCGCTCTGTCCGTCTTCAATTGCCCCTCTCTTTGCCAGCTGCTTGATCTCGTCGCTCGTGAGACCCTCAGCGGCTTCTGAGCCATCAACTTCCTCCGCTTTTCGCTTCCGCTTCGTATGGTCGTCGTCACGTTGACGCAAGCGCTCAGCAAAGGCGTCGCGCTCCTCGCGGTCGCGCAATCGTTCGCGTTCTTCCGGCGTAAGATTACTGTCGTCTCGTTCGGCTTCAGACGCGCGCTTGGAGCGGAAGTCGCGGATGACTTCGACATCAGAATGATGGCCACTTTCTTGTGCTCCTAAATGTGTACTGCCATTGCTGTTGCTGCGTCGGCGTCGACGGGAAAACCCGTCAGAGCGACGCGCCTTCCGCGAGGTGCTGCTTCCTGCCATGAACTGATCCTGTTTGTAATACCGGTTTTGTATGTCAAAAACGTAAGCACGAAACGGGTCCAATGAACGATATTCATCATTTGGAAGGGACAAATGCTGGTTTATCTAACTAGCAAATCAAGGATTTCGGACTTTCAAATTTCTACTCCTTTGTAGGACGATGGTTTCACATCCGATGCTTTCGATTGAATCTATCGTTTAGTCTTCGGTGATAATAGGCCGTAGTAGGCGAAAGCGCATACTACTGCTAACTGTGCGCGCACGATAAGAAGGGCACTACCGCGATCCCACGATTGGAGAAGAGACAGAGTACAAGGAGGTGTGTATTCGAACTGGGTCGCACGAGACGTACGAGTGGAGTCGAATGAAGGGAGAATATAGTCAGACACAATCGCCCATTCATCGACAGCAAGTGGCTATGTTTCTTGCTTGTTAATCCAGCACGACTAAAGCGAGCTGGATCAGAGCTCATGTACTTTTATTCCACCCGCATGCGTTGCCGTATGAAGTGACGTAAGCTCTTAGCACTACTGCAGCTTTTTGCAGCCGATTGCAACATGTCACAGGTGTTTAGACGAAAAGAGCCTATAGACGTGAATCCGCATCAGCAAACAATGAATGGCCTTTTAGACTGTGAACGTCAGTCTAGATGTCCATCCATTATCAATGACTTGCGATCCCGAAGGCGGAGCTATTTGTGATATTGCGTAAGGTACTGGCCAAACTTCTCTGCAGCTACTTCACATCTGTCTGAAAGTCACGCGGGTGAACCGTACACGCCTTGTCAGGTGTGATCTAGATCCTCTGATCATGGGTAAAGATGCATATTAGATAATGCCGTTAGGCAAGATCACTAAATTGCACCGTCATCTCAAGTCCGGAAGTCATGTACACGCATCCGTGCACGTAGTTGACTTGGCCCCGCACCTGTGGCACTACAACATCAACACCATCGCCATAGCTACACCATCAATAACAGCTGAACAAGCAGCGACTTCACCAGCAGCAGTCATAATGGAAGAAGGCTGCTGCTTGTTGACATCACAAACTGTCGAACGACCTCGATGAATGATTGCAAAGAGAATGCAGAATTGGGTATGTTGGCTTTGGCTGATAGAATATGTCTGCACAGTCACATGTTCTTCGTTTATTATGTTTGCATTGTAGTAAAAAGTTTACAGTACGTTCCATTTCTTCATACATGGCTTTTGGACTCAGCATCCCCTTCGATATACATATGCCATGGAGGTCTGCAAAAGTCGAGATACGCTGAGTCCCTGGTCGTAACCGATGGAAGAACGCTAAATATCCGTTTTGTAACATGGTGAGCCCATTAAATGTCATTCGCCCCAAAGTTACATGAATGGTAATGTCTAATCTGATAGTATTCACCAATATTTACTTTACTGAGTAAATACTAAAATAATATTGTCTTCGGAGGTAAATTTGGCACTGCTTCACTCATTGGTTGATATCGTCCATTTTAACAGGCAACTAGAACACTGGCCGCTGCTAGAAGCGCACCATGAGCGATGAGCGAGTAGCTGTACTATGTGGTTGCAGGTTGCTCTACTCAAAGTAAGATCAGACATGTTATGTTACGTAGACCTTACCGATCGATATGGGAAACCTAAAAAAGGGGCCAAATAATTACAAAAATAAAAAGAAGCCCCGGCGGCGAATACTGCGTCTTCGAAGACACATACGCTTTCCAAAAAACGATCTGGGAAAACGATTCTGCTGCTTAAGCTTTATAGATACCGTAGTAAATTGACATAAGGAAAGCTTGCCCGACAATTGCTGAATATCGGATTGACCGTCGAGTCTCCACCAATCGTTAGTAATTGTTTAAGAAAACGAAAAGCACACAACACATTTCTCGCAGAATACGTATCATCCACAGCGCGTACATCACCTGAGGCTATTTAGCAAGTAGACCGACTTCGTCATACGTGCAAACTGATCATAATGGGTTGATTTATCTTGCAACGGGGTGAGCCCGTTACATGTCATTAACACATATTGTGTCGATGTAGAAATTATCTTCATTTATAATTTGTTAAAAAAAATCACTCATGTGATGAAAGTGAGGGAGCATTATTTTCAAACTTAATATTCACGCCGCTCGACTTATTCGTACAAATGTGATATAATCTCAACCAAATACACCATTAACCGGTGCTACACGCGCGCAATGGGAAGTGAGTGAGATTCGACATCTGGAGATTTGCTTTCAATACTGGCCAAGTAAGATACACTTACATTTTTAACGAGACCTAGCTAGATGAAATATACAGTTCTACGTTTATTCCGTCTGCGCAGTTTCTTGCTCAGGCAGTTCTCTTCCTTTGCACGTATAGACCACGTAATATTTTGGAAGCACGCCCTTGCACTGTAATCAGTGCAAGTGGTTTATCATTATGTAGTAATATTGTGCCGCATTACAGATTTCGCGTAACACCAATCATTGGTTAACCTGTATATACTATATTGAGCAAAAGAAGTATGTACTAAATACAGGTAACTTGCTCATCATAGTCCTATCATCACTTGCACGTTATTGGCCATTACTGAGCGATAATATCGAAAGCTTGAAACGAGAGGAATGGAATACGACAGCGAGTAGCACCATCTGGTAGCTTCTATTCTGATAGGTCTTAAGCGGGCGAAAGTGATAGAGCTCAAGCTGGTATCGAGTGTAACAGGGAGCACTGCCGTCCTTTTCGTGTCGTGGCGAGTGATGACCGGCGTTACAAAGCAGTATGCATACAACGATAACGAGCGTCACTTAATTCCTGTTACTAGAGCCAATGAAGTCTCTATCCAGTACTGGGACTCATGCCATTCCTGCTTTTAGCGTAAGAGAACAATTGAACGACAATGATCGTGTGCCACGAGGAAACACTGACTTCAGCATTAAAGTTGGACTAAGAGAGTCGATTGCCTTAGCCTAGCTGGGCTATCGCCGAGATCTCAGGGGGAGAGAGAGAGAGAGAGAGAGAGAGAGAGAGAGAGAGAGAGAGAGAGAGAGAGAGAGAGAGAGAGAGAGAGAGAGAGAGAGAGAGAGAGAGAGAGAGAGAGGAGACGAGGTGGCTCGTGTGATATGTCAAGATTGCAGCAAATGTAAGCTGTTGTGCTTATTGCGCTACTTTTGATGCACCTGAAGGGCTCCTAGTGGTTTTACGAGTCAAACGTCATTTATGCCTATAAAAAGCCTGCAATTCTGATAAATATTCTTGGTTACTTTGAATTTCGACTCACGACCTTGAGCTTATAGACTGACAGGAAATTTGCTTGAGACATGATCGAGCGAAGTCTCTCATGTGAATCCAGACGATGACCCTCGACTCGTCAACCGTTCTCGTCGTGTTCCCTTAAGAATACTTAAGGATGAGGAGCCACCACTCTGGGCGTGTTTACTACATATCATATGACATCATTGAATGATGTCATTTGTACATGGATATCTGTAGCGGAGCTGTGACAGCCACTTGCCTGAGGAAGGCTTTACCTCAACAATCTTTTTTATCATGAACACGACTCAACGAGTCTGCTTAGATCTTCAGGCTTCTAGTCCTGGTCTAAAGAATTTTACGATTCAGGTAAACAACAGCACTTACTTCTTAAAGATATATGCCTTTACAAGACTTCTAACTCGTGTGATCAACGACGCCTCAACAACGCGTGTGTCTCGTTCAATCGAAACGCGAGAACATTTTTGGATTATTAACACGAATATAAATCCTTCGCATCGGCTAACTTGTAAGGATTTGCCCTCAGTAGAGTAAAACCAGAAACGCATTATTGATGGCTGAAGCGACACTGGTACATCACATGTATCACGTACTTAGTCCATGGTAGTTATACTGACAGTGTGCAACCGTACAGCATTGGAGGTAACACCGGTATCATACCGGTGACAGTCACACATGGGGCACTAAGGGGTGATGTGTACCACACAGGTCAACATCCGTGCGATGGCCCATTACATCATCGGCATGATGGTAGTCTTGGTGATCAGAATATTAGTAGATGTTTACATGAGCACTTGCAACAGCACCATCACATACTTGCTAGCTCAAGCATATATGCTCTTGTTGCTTGTTCGATGCTTCACCTCAATCCGCCTTGATTCTTGTCTATAACATTCAATACACCATTGTGTACGCGCCATCAAAATACGGTGCTGTCTCATCGTATTCTTTCATCACGTTACCACCTGTAGAAACATCTACATAGTGATACATTGGCACGTCATATAAGCTACATGAAAGATCAAGAAGCACCGTATTCGACATCACCGAAAGAGATGAGCACCACTGGACTGCGTTGAAGCGTCAACACATCTTCTCCTTTTTGGGATTCGAGTATTGACTGAGAAAGTTAGGTATTGGTGAGATAACAGACTGCGGGATGAAATGTAACGGGACACACTTCTTACTATACAAGTGGTAGGCCTTTGTGCCGATACAGTACAAGGATATAAGCTTTTGACTCCTCACGTAGACCCTACGTGCAAAGAAGAGAAGTACCTGAGCAAGAATCTGCTCAGAGCCCGGAAGAGTAATTTTTTATTAATATATTCAGGTCTCGCTAATAAAACCAGGTTTCTCATACTTAAACTATTTTATACTGCCTACTTCCAATGCGTAATCGCGTTCACCACCCATTGCGCGCAACCAGCAGCGATTGGTGGTGTATTTGGTCGATAGCATAGCCTATATCCACCAATATATCGGGCGGCGCTGGATATTACCTTCGTAGGTCATATTCCTTCAATTTATACTCGCAAGAGTAATATTGATGATTACAATCAACCATGCGGATATCTACGTTAATTTAATTCGTGCCAATGACATGTAACAGGCTCAACCCGTTTCATAAAACACATACGTGTATGTAAATGCATGATTAGAAGTAGTGTATATCCGGTCGTACAGGATACATGAGTGGCGCATTCTTTTCATTTCTACTTATTTAGCTCATCGTTTATTTATTTCCAGATTGTGGGGAATTGTTACATTTTTTATAAATTTAAATCTTAAAATTGCCGGAAATACACATGATTCAAACGCTTCTTGATTTTAACTGTATAAAGGTAGACTCTCCGCAAGCGCTACCATGTCCAAGTACAGCTAATTTACTTTTGGTTGGTATCCAAAATGCTTCCATTCGACCTCATCACCAAGAGCATTAAAATTTACTAATGCAGCCACTGCTAGCGTTGGAAGAGGTTGCCGACATCGTCTTCTGTTGTGTCTTGCTTCTCCATAGTTACCACATTGACATACAGGCTGCAAAGAATTCATCAAAATTTAAACTACGCATGGATGCCACTGAGTAGAACTCTGCGATTGGTGTTCCAGCGATTGATGCTCAAGAATACCAACAAGACTCTCGCGGCCATGTTGTACAGAGAATTGAAAGTCCGTCGCTGCCGGTAGCCTATCTAAATGGTCAAAGATAACTCGCTGTGTACGAGGTTCCCTCTTCAAATTTTTCTAATGTGCGCATCATTCTTTCCCAATTGATGTGAACGCTACTTACATTACCTCTTTCCAAGGAGGATGCACCAAATAACAGTGTGGAGCAATATGTCCATCACGATGCTATGGTGTTCCAAACGTCCAAGTTTGTGTACTACTAAAGAACGCTCTTCCTAACGCGAGCGAGTTTAGTATCAGTGAGTCCATTTCTAATAGTTTGATTAGCCAATCACAATGTTTTAAAATGGAGGGTGAGTGGTGATTAGCGAAAAGTGAGTGGTGAATGGCGAAAAGAGAGTGGTGAATAGCGGCTCCCTTTATTCAGTTTTCTCTGCATCTTCACATAATCGATGTGAAACACGAGCTACAAAGTACACAAGCGGATCGTACGTCATGTGATACCCGCCCGACCCACCTTCTCACTATTCTGTTTTTACAGTTTAATGATATATGGTCAGCGAAAGAGCTAGCGGAAGTCAAAGAGATGCGCACGTTTACATATTGCACCGCCTACCGTTCCATTCAATTTCGCTGCCTTTTTCACGTGACCAACATCATCATACAATTGCTCTACGCCTCGCTGCCCCGGCGCCAGGCGTCCACAAGAGACTTGAAAATGCCGTCTGGTTTGCGCTGCAGCTCAGTTGGCGACCCAAACTCAGCCACTGATCCCTTCTCCATCACCAATATGCGGTCAGAGTCCAGGATGGTATTGATGCGGTGCGCGATCGTCAACGTAGTGCAATCACGGAACTCCTCGCGGATACTCTGTTGGATCTGCCGGTCTGTCTCCGGGTCGACCGACGCAGTGGCCTCGTCCATCAGGATCACCTTCGACCGCTTCAGAAGCGCGCGTGCGATGGAGAGCAGCTGGCGTTCACCCACACTAAAGTTTGAGCCTTTCTCGTCCACGGCGGAGTCCAACGAGGTTACAGCCTTCAGTAGCGATGCGCGTTTTATCGACGTCCAGATCTCATCATCGGGGAACTTATCAAACGGATCGAGATTCGAACGCACTGTGCCCGAGAACAGCACGGGGTCCTGCGGAATGATGGCAATTTTGGTACGCAAGTCGTGCAAACCAATTTTGCTGATGTCCACACCGTCGATTGTAATGGTGCCCGCATCCAGCTCCACAAGACGCATGAGACCTACAATCAAGCTACTCTTGCCCGCACCCGTTCGGCCCACAATACCGATCTTCTCCTTTGGATTAACGGTGAAGGTCAGACTACGAAGCACGCGTGAAAGACCAGGACGGTATCGTAGATCAACGCGATGGAAGCTGATGGCACCAGCTGTTGGCCACTCTGGCGGCGGTTTTTGATAAGCACTGCTCGTCAAAGCAGCTTCGATCGGAATCTCCGTGTACGTCTGGATGCGCTCTATTGACACCATTTGCGTTTGCAATTGACTGAGCATGCGGACAGACCAGTTAAGCGGCTGAGTGATCGTGAACGCATACGCGAGCGATACGCCAATAATGCCAGCGTAAGCGGTGCCCTCAGTGGCATTTGTGCCGTGAGCTAGGACAGCTGTAAGCGCAGCAGCAGTCGCAATACACGTACCGACGAACTCCAGGCGTAGAGCCAGCCAGCAGTTCACCGTAAAGTTTAGGAAATATGCGCGCTGGTTGTTGTCCAAGAGATAGTTATTGTGATCGATGAAACTTTTTTCCACACCAAAAGCTCGTATAGTTGAGAGACCATCCAGTGTTTCCGACAGCAGCGCAAAGATCGGAGAACGACTAATGGAGTCCAGGCGCTGCAGCTCGCGAGAAGTCTTTATGAAGTACCGCTGCGAACAGTAGTATCCAATCAGTACTGGTGCCAGGATGACCATAAACGGGGGGAAACGCACGAGATCGTGATCAACGTGGCAGAAACCGACACAAAGGTTTGGAGTAAACCAGCCACCGTGCCGGGAATCGATTCATCCAGTGTATAAACGTCTTTCGATAAGCGGTTCACAATGCGACCGAGCGGCGTTGTGTCAAAGAAAGAGGTCGGCGCACGCAAAATACGGTTTAGCAGCTTGTCAAAAAGCAGGCGGCTTGCGTGGAGCGAGCCCAAATACAAGAGAGCCACACGAACGAACAGCATTGCAACGAACGCCATATTTATCAGCCCGTACACGTACACGTAGTACAGTTGCGAGTCCGGATACTTCGTCGCCTGCTCGGACCAGTAAGAAATCCACAACGTCGCCGACACGGTCAAACTTTGAGCAACAGAGAAAGCTAGCACGACCACGAAAGCAGCACGCGTGCCACCGAAAGCGCTGACCCACACACCGTACACCGACCACGACACGTCGCCCACGGAGCGGTCCTCTTTGACAATCAGCTGGCCTCCATTTCCCGCAGCAACTTGACTGTCTTCACTCCACACCGACGACACGCGGGAACGGCAAAGCACACCACTCGCGCTCGACTTGCTGCGGCCGGTAGTCTCCGGCTTCTCATCACACGACTCCACTTTCACGTCATCGATATCCTCTGCCGCCAAATGCTCACTGTCCTCCTCTTTCTCGCTCTCAGTGTAGTTCGACACCATATGAGCCAGCAATTTCTTCCTCGACATCAGTTTTTTGTACGATCCGTGCTCGGCGATTCTTCCGTTGGCGATCACGGTGATCTCATCGCACTGACCGAGAAATCTCAGCGAGTGCGTCACCAGCACTACAAGCTTGTCCTTCAAGGTCTTTTTGATGCATTCGTGAAATATGTCAGCTCCTACGTGGCTGTCAACTGCGGACAGAATATCATCCAGCAGGTAGATGTCGGCATCTTGGTACACGGCACGAGCAATAGCCACACGCGTGCGCTGTCCACCACTAAGGTTAATGCCCTTCTCACCAATTTCGGTGCGGTCTCCGGCAGGTAGAATGCTTATATCCTCCGCTAACGAGCTCACGCGCAGAGCTTCCACGTACTTGTCAGCATTGAACGGAAGGCCGAACGTAATGTTGTTGCGCACCGTAGCATTCTGGATGAATGGCTGCTGCGATACATACGCCACTCGACCCCGAATCGCCACCGAGCCAACGCTGCAACGAGCGTCGCCCAGTATGCCTGCCAACAGAGTCGATTTACCGCTGCCGACATAGCCCACAACTGCGTGCAGCTCGCCAGCCTTGGCTGAAAAGTTGATGTGGTGGAGTATCGGACCCTCTGCCACAGACGTCACCAATGCTCCTCCTTCATCCCTCATGTCATCGTTCGTTTCGTCGCTACCAGCTGGCAAAGCTGCGTCCCATTTGAAGTCCGCATCTTGCACCAAAATGCCAATCTCTTTCAGGTCGCCCTCGCCCACTACTTTGCGCTCTTCTGCTAGAAAGTAAGTGCGCAGACGCTCGAAACTCACGCTCGCCTCTACCACATTGTTCAGAACCTGCGGAAGCATGAACAATGGAAAGCGCAGGATGTTGAACAGAGCCAGACTTGTCAACGCTGTGCCCACGTCCAGCGTATGGCCCAGGATCACATACGCGCTAAACGAAACGATCGTCACGAGCGACGGTATAAAGCTGAAAATCGTGTCCGACCCGCTGCGTGCAAACACGTACGATCTCAGACGCGCCAGCTCTTCCTCGCGAAAATTCATCACGCGCCGACTAAACGAGTTTTCCCATGCCTTGAGCTTCACAACCTTGATGCCCGACAATATCTCGACACACACCTTAATGCGCTCATCTTTGACCTCCATCAAGCGCTGTTGCAGCTTGCGCATGGCCTTCGAAATGAACGTCATGAGTGGGATCATCAACAAGATCACAGCGACGCCCGCGAACGTGGCAACGCCAATTTGCTTCCAGAGCAAGACACACGACACGGTGATTTGGAACGCCGCGTACCATACAGCGTGCAAGTAGGGCGTCATGTCCTGCAGACGCTGTGCATCAATGGACATGAGGTTCGTGATCTCGCCCGACGTCCGCTGCTGTCGGGCTGCAGCCGACAGTAGTATCGACTTTTCAAAGACGGCCGTCACCACGGCGCTGCGAAACTGCAGACCCGTTTCATAGCAGTAAAAAAAGTACTGGCGTAGCGCAAAGGACTGCACGACACCGGACACGAAGACCACACCAGTGTACGTGAGGCCCTCGGACAGCGGCGCCGTCGGGTCGCTCAGGTACGCAATGATGTTCTTGATGATCATGGGCCCCACGAACTGCAGCGAGTCGTGGATGAGCTTGAGCACGCCGGCCACAACGAACTTGAAGCCGAAAGCTTTCGTGATTGCCCACACGAGACTGGGCTTCTTCGAGCGCTTCTGCTGCTCCCACGCCTCGGCAAACGTCCGAGACACGTTGGCCGCACGGTTGTGCGGGTCCAGCTGGAACAGGTCGTCGCTCTCGAGCGGGCGCTCGTTGCCCAGCTTCATGAGGGGCGTGACCCACGAGAAAAAGACATTGCTGAGGCAGCCCGACAGCTGGGACGGGCAGCGGTCGCCCAGACCGGGTGTGTCCACGGGCATCCACGTGGCCGCCGGCTTGTCGGACGTGCTGGTGGCGCCGTGCGTGGCCGTCACGCCCTGCAGCAGCGGCGTGCGCTCTTCGGGACTTCGCTCCCTTGAGGGCGCCATGTTCGACAGCAGTGACTGGGCGAGACTTTGTGGTCCAGTGGGGTGAGGCAAACGCGATCTTGGGGCCGTCGTGCAGATTACACATTAAGAAGACGATCGTTTCTAGACAGATGAGATCTATGGCTTACGATCGTATCCAAGTGGTTAGTGCTTCAAATAGATCTGGTGCGAGATTTTGGGCAAACTGATATGATGAACGGACGGGTGGTACCTGCCCGATCTTTTTGGTAGAAATAGAGTTTTAGAGGATGATTTTAGAACGCATCCACTATTTTATAACAACGACACGGGCGTCGTACCATCGAAACGTCCATAGTAACGGCGGGACGCTCTCCTCGTCTTCATCCTTCTTGGGATCCATTTCCATTACACTGAGCCTCCACGTCTCCTTTTCCGGTGCTGCATCTCCTGCTGACAATCTTGATCCTGCTTCTTTTTTCACTGCTGCTATACTCCTGCCTACGCCGCTCCATCGTTGATCGTGGATATTCCCCAACGGCCGGGCCATCGAGCGGTACGCCGTACGTCAAGTCTTCGACGTTAGCGATCGCTCAACTTTCCGCATAGCCTTGATTGTTTTTTGTCCTGCTCTTTTGCGAGTCAAACGCTACCGACGATCCCATGGACGACCCGTTGCTTCGCGAAACCGCGGACCGAAGACAGTCGCCTGTCCGCGTGGTCCTGTGACCACTTCGACGAGTACACGCCAGCCGGAAGCCTAGGTCGGCGCTTTCTTAAACAACCGTCACATCGGTCATCCTAGATGCACCAAAGGATAGTGCGCATAGCTTACCGGCTGCGTGTCGGGTAGAAGCTGAAGTCATGTAGATGCACCCAGCAACAGCTGCTTTGCGGATACGTGCCCATGTCAGTAGTTTTAAGGCGGCGGATTATTGTGTATTATTTTGGTAATTTATTTCGTTGCTGGTCATTTTCAGCAATTTAAATGGGAGCAGGGCGTAAGCCATAAAACCTTGAATGATGTGTTTAGTGTGACGGAAGCTTATGCTTCTATTCACTCTTGTACCGCAAAATTTTGTGTGCTAGGAACGCAGAGAGCTAATCCGAATTTTTACGTTTGGCTCGTAACCTCTTACAAGTTGCTGCTTTATACGACTTTGTCACACAGCAGTTCTACCGACCTACAATATTTGGCCGGATGTGATGACAGATGGCAAGTGACGAGGTCAATCGACCATGCCCCTTTTATACATAGTGACCGAAAGTAACGTCTAATATAATACGGCGCTAAAAGTCCACAAGTCCCTTTTACAAATGAATGGTCCAAACCATGAAATCTTCGACCCTCCGACGTATCGTTTAATGGGCACACATTTGGTGCATTGTACTTATCATGCATTCTAATTGTAGACCACCCATATGTTTCTGCCATAGTACGTGCAAATGTGGTCTTTATTATCAATGTATGAATGGGAGGAATATGCTGAGTGTATTTCTAACTGCCTTGCCTTACACTTCTTCGAGAATGTCTTGTGTGTATATAGGAGCTGGATGAACGATCGCGCCAGACCAGAGGATACTCCGGTAGCGCTGGATTCTGCCGTTCAGCTCGCAGGTTCGATGGAGTGCGCATCTGCTTCAGCACCGCATTGGCGCCTTTTAAATGGATGCCGCACTCGCCGAGGAACGCCAAGACGTTTGATTCTGCCTGCAAGCCGAGCGCCAACACGTCGTTGCGCTACGTCGGTATTTTCTCGTCCAGCGTGAAGCTTATATCAAGAAACAGCTTCAAGAAAGCAGCGATCAGCTTCGAGTCCGAATTCTTCTGCTTCTCACCGGGGTTGCTCCATAAGCGCGGGTCACGCGCGTACCACTCGAACCAAACTGAGTGAAGGTGAGTTAGCGACGACTGCTTTCTGTGCTTTGTAAAATTGCTGACGCTTTCATCCTCCTCTCTGTACTTGTTTTTTTCTTGAAGACCGCGCCGCGTCGGGCTTAGCGCTTAGCGCATCCATGCGCTTGTCTTGTCGTCTCGTATGTGTGATAAAGTGTCAATGACAGAATCTTGGTGGCGAATGAGCGTGCGTTCTTCAGACTCTGTGTTTGACTTCTTAAATAGTTCTTCTTCGTCTTCTTTATATTTCTTTGCACAGAGAGACGTTGCGATATGCGTGGACCATGCGAGCAAATCAGCACAAGTGCGACCAGATTCCAGCACGCAAGTTTCCAAGCGCTTGACAGCTGGCCCGTTGGGTTTTGCCTCTTTAAGAGCGAAGATGTAAGACCAGGTACGCGGTTAGCACGTCGTGAACGCGCTGATTGACGTTGTACTTCTTCTTGCTGAGGATCGGACAGGTCTAGAACAGTATCACCTGCAATTCGCGTATACTGTCCTGGGTCTGATCATCGAAGAGACTTAAGTCGGCGAGCGACACGTATTCGTTCGGCTTTCAGCCGCTTATCACCTTGGCAACCTTGTGGTCTTCGTTCATGGTATTAGGCACGTAGCTAAACGCTTCATTTATTGTGCTCATGTTCCAGGCGCCGCGGTCGAAGACCCAGCGCGCCGCGAGCTATGCGCTGATATTCGCGTGCTGCGCGCCGCCACGACGGAATGAGTGTAACGTGAGCTGCTGCTCTGCCCGAGCTCGAGCGGCGAAGCGGTCGAGGAGGCGATTGACGTGGCTGTGGATTGACGTTCTGCTGCTACCTGAGGTAGCAGCAGCTTGGTCGCCGCAGGAAGCCTCTGGGTGGTCGAGAACGTCAAGCAGAGGCGTTTCAGGGCCGAATCTAACTGCGATATTTCTCAATTGAGCGGGTCAGTTGTCGAGGAGGTCGGCACACGGCTCTGCCTGTTTAATCAGAGCTAGAGCGATGGCGAGTAGCGGGTACGTGGAGAAGTCTTCGGTGGGGAATATCGAGATTCCTTGATCTTCGCTCGTTTTCGTACGAAGAATACGTCACTCGCATCAATCGAGACAACCTGTTTGCGAACGAGCGTCAAGTCCGACGCACGCCCAAGTAGGTTCCAAAGAAGGCACATCAAATCTTCATCCTGGTAATCACTAGACGAGCATGCATTTGAATACAAATAATATATCGTCCGCCTTAAGTCAGTCTTCGTACACGCACTGGCCTTCTTCAAATGCCCGCCACCCTCTCTCTTAACAAAGTAGTTTTCTAACGTTCTACCTATTTTGAGTAGCCGCGACTCGAGTAAAACACGCTACTGCGGGAACTGATCTAGTAACCAATGCTTCGTTTGTCGGTAATTCTGCATGCAAGAATGTCTAGCAAGCGGCTTGCCAGCCCTGCCTCCGTTAAATGCAAGATACATACTGAACTTATCCAATACAGACACAATACACTGCCCAGAGTCATCGCGCTGAATGCAGCCCTTGAAATATTTTAGATCTGCATTCTCAGACTGTAGAAACCTCACGGATGCCTTCACAGGTGTCGCTCTGGCTCGCTTGGAGTTTACAGGCAGAAGATTCACCAAACTTATTCGAAATCACTCGGCACGCAGATATGCAAATGATACACCCGTGGATTGGGTTTTATATTGTCAGATACACGTTTAGATCAATCAAGCTTATTTGTAGTGGGACATTACGCTAATATGTTGATGGTACACCCGTGACTTGGGGTTTGTATTCACATATACATATTTGGCGCTTTCCTCCGACCAAATACGTCGGAATGGCCGGCATACTGTACTTCCCTACCCCTACCCTTTTGATTGGCCTAAAACATGTAAATGTACTCTGTAATTGGATGAAAATACGTTGATATAATTCTATTTACTATTCCGTCGTTTACAAAAGCTAAGTCAATTCGGAGAAGTGACGATATTCATCCATACCAAAAATGCGAAGCTCGCAAACACTCGTAGTTAATTCATCGAGCTGAGCTATTATTACATGTATGCGCATAGTATGAGGTGTATGAATACGGGATCCGGTGGGGTAAGCTTGACCATCTAGGGCTACTAAATGTTCTATCTTGTACATGTTCTGTAGCTCAGTTCGACAGATATGTTGCTACTGGACTAAGAAATGAAAGGATCACCATATGACAGATCGCTTCTACGTATCTGCGCAAATATATATACCATATTATATGCTAAAAAAGGCAATCTGGGCGACCTATTGCAATGTCGTAGAAGTGTGAATGGTCTGTACACGTCAAAAAGTTGAATCATCCTCAAAGTAATGTAAACACGACTTCAGGTAGACAGTAATGATGGATTATGTAACGGGAATAGCTCATGCAACTGACACCACATTGTCTCAACCAGATAGGTATCTTTATTGGTAATATTCACCAATATTTACCTCATTGATTAAACATTGTAGGAACATTACATATGTCGATAACCTTCAGCACCGCTCCACTTGTTGGTTGCTTGAGTTCATATTATTAATCAAATTAGCCACCAATCGCTGCTAGACGCCCGCAATGGATGGTGAGCGGGTAGCCAATTTTGACATTTGTAGTATAATATAATGAGGGAATTGCTAAATTCACACCCCTTTTCCTTAGATTCACACCCTTCCTTCAAAATCTTATATATAAAAGGTACGCAATCGCCGTTGGACAAAGACGAGTACTTTCTCTGCCACTTGGCTATGGGCGACATCTTGCGCGCTGCTGTAGCTTCTGGCACCGACATAGGCAAAAAGTTCAAAGCCGCGATGTAGTCGGGCGCACTTGTGACCGACGAGATTGTCGTCGGTATTATTAAGGTCACCATCAAGAGTTCGGAATGCCGTCGTGGCTCTAATCTTGACGACTTTCCACGAACGGTCGTGCAGGCCAAAAAGGTAAGAACAAGAGGAGATACAGACGAGTGGCCAGGTTGCAACGCAGAGGCTGACCATAGTTCCCTCTTTTTTTATGCGTAGTCCTCGCAACTAAATTTGTGCCTGCTGGCCTTCAATGACATATCTTGCGCTGGCTGGGCGTACGTGTTGTACCTAACAGTGACAACGGTCCTCAAGGCGCGTGAAGGTGGCGATCTGGACTGGAGTTAAGTG